GATAGAGATAGTGTGTGTGTGTCTGTGTGAGAGAATGTGTGTGTGTCTTTGTGTGAGAGAGAGAGAGAGTGTGTGTGTGTGTCTCTGTGTGAGAGAGTGTGTGTGTGTGTGTGTGTGTGTGTGTGTGTGTGTGTGTGTGTGTGTGTGTGTGAGTGAGTGTCTGTGTGTGTGTGTGTGTGTGTGTGTGTGAGAGAGAGAGAGAGAGTGTCTGTGTGTGTGTGTGTGTGTGTGTGTGTGTGTGTGTGTGTGTGTGTGAGAGAGAGAGAGAGCATGTGTGTGAGAGAGAGAGAGAGTGTCTGTTTGTGAGAGAGAGAGAGAGAGAGTGTGTGTGTGTGTGTGTGTGTGTGTGTGTGTGTGTGAGAGAGAGAGAGAGAGAGAGAGAGAGTGTGTGTGTGTCTGTGAAAGAGAGAGTGTGTGTGTCTGTGTTTGAGAGAGAGAGTGTTTGTGTGTGTGAGGGAGAGTGAGTGTGTGTGTCTGTGTGTGTGTGAGAGAGAGAGAGTGTGTGTGTGTGTGTGTGTGTGTGTGTGTGTGTGTGTGTGTGTGTGTGTGTGTGTGTGTGTGTGTGTGTGAGAGAGAGAGAGAGAGAGTGTGTGTGTGTGTCTGTGTGTGTGTGTGTGTGTGTGTGAGAGAGAGAGTGTGTGTGTCTGTGTGTGAGAGAGAGGGAGTGTGTGTCTGGGTGTGAGAGAGAGAGTGTGTGTCTTTGTGTGTGTCTTTGTGTGTGTGTGTGTGTGTGTGTGTGTGTGTGTGTGTGTGTGTGTGTGTGTGTGTGTGTGTGTGTGTGTGAGCGAGATAGAGTGTGTGTCTGTGTGTGAGAGAGAGAGTGTGTGTGTCTGTGTGAGAGAGAGAGAGAGTGTGTTTGTGTGTCTGTGTGTGTGAGCGAGATAGAGTGTGTGTCTGTGTGTGTATGAGAGAGAGAGTGTGTGTGTCTGTGTGAGAGAGAGAGAGTGTGTGTGTGTGTGTTTGTTTGTGTGTGTGTGTGTGTGTGTGTCTGTGTGTGTGTGTCTTTGTGAGAGAGAGTGTGTGTGTGTGTGTGTGTGTGTGTGTGTGTGTGTGTGTGTGTGTGTGTGTGTGTGTGTGTGTGTGTGAGAGAGAGTGTGTCTGTGTGTGTGAGAGAGAGTGTGTGTGTGTCTGTGTGAGAGAGAGAGAGAGAGAGAGAGAGAGAGAGAGAGAGAGAGTGTGTGTGTCTGTGTGTGAGTGTGTGTGTGTATGTTTGTGTGCATGTGTTAATTGTTACAGCTCAAATGCATTGCAATAACTTCCATGTTAAAAAAAGACTTTAAAAAGCTGAATATTTTAAAAAGTATAACATATTTTGAAAAAGTTGAAAGTTTCCCATCATGTGTTGAAAAGGCTGAATAGTTTGATATTTGAATGGTTCCTGCAGCTGAAATTAGGCTGAAGGAGTTCAATAAAGATATTAAATGTAAGTAGTAGTGATTGAATGTTTACAAACACCTGTGTGTGTAAACCCAGAGATCAAAGGTTTCCATGGTGTCTGCTCTGATTGGATGATGTGACTCATGTGTGTGTGTGGCTCCAATCTGCCCAGCAACACCATGACAACCAACTGCAGCACTGAGTCCCATAAGAATGCATTTAGGATTATATCTGACAATTTTGCCACCTGTTCAAAAACTATGGCTCTTATCAAAAAATGACCAAACCGTGAGCATCAGGGAACCTCAATGAACTGAATATGTTTTTTTTTTGGGTTTTGTGTCTAAAATGTGGAGATGGGAGCAGTTTATCTAAAGTGTACTTCTCTCTGTTCTGAATAAAGATCTGGAACAATTTAACATGGAAATCAATTGGGAGCTAGCTGGACTTGTTCTCTCTTCATGCCCTCAAGAGGCATTTTGTTTAATATTTTTTCTTATTTTATTTTTATTTTCCAAGCTAGGAGAGGTTTTCCTACGTTTTTCATGAAAAAATATGTCTGAGGAGTGTAGGGTTTGGGAATTATGGCAAGTTTAAAACATCTTTGGGGGAGAATTTCAGGCACTGCTGCACTCTGTTTTGAGATCAGAAGCACTCTAGACTTAACGAGCTGCTCCCATCCACTCTAATGTTAAAATCTGAAAAAGGCCTCTCTACCAAGCTCCAAACTAAATTCAATATCTCAAAAAGTTTAAAAGATATCACAAATCTGAATAGGAATTGAATAGCTGAAGGTCTTGTGATCATTTGAAAGTTGGAATGAAGTGTCTAGCTGAAATTATGTGGAAGGAGAAGCATTTGGCGCAAAGTTTAGGAAAAGTGGATTTGAAGGCATCTCCCAATGTTAAAAAAATAGTTTAAAAAGCTGAATATTTCAAAAAGTATAAAATATTTTTTAAAAGTTGAAGGTTTCCCATCGATTCCTGAACAGGCTGAATAGTTTAATATTTGAATGGTTTCTGTAGCTGAAAATAAGTTGAAGTTATGGAGTGCCAAAGTATTGGCTGAAATAATAAGTTTGGGGAAGAATACAGATTTGAAGAACTAATAGTGGAATGCTGTAAACAGCATTCGCACTAATGATACACGCTGTGGCCAGGCAGGAAACATGTGACTTACTAGTAACTTTAGACATCGTAAAACAATTTCAAACGATATTTTATTGTAGATTATACATTTTACTGATACCAATTATATAATATTTACCTTGTTCATTAAAAAAAAATTAAAAAAATATATATATATTAAAAAAAATATATTGGTGACAAAGCGCAGCCCTTTTAATGACAATCAAACATGTGGGAAGAGGGTGGGCGGCGCCCCTAGCGCCCCTATGGGCCGGCCGCCACTGACTATACATTGACGGGGAAGGGGGTAGCAATAAAGATAACACCATTAAACAGTTACACAACATAACAGAAATAATATCGATAGCAGCGTCCCTAGCAACAAGTAACAAGTAGTTAATAATAATAAAAGACATTAAAAAAAAGGCATTTTAAACAGTCATTAAAAAGCAACACAATCTTCCTGCATTGCATTACTCTAAACGTGTAATAACGTGCTTTAACCAGTAGGTGGTTTGGGTCAAAAAGCTGTCAAGTTTACAGTGTTAACAAAATAAAATATACTGCTGTTTCTGGTTTAGTTTACGACGGATATATTTAGTTATTGTTTTGATATTTGTAACACAAAAGCGATGGAAAAAACCCACAGCAACACAGAAAAGATGACCCAGCGGTAGTTAATAAAAAACAATAATATCAAAACAAAATATTACTAACTTTATTGTGAAATTCAAACTGAACGGTAAAAGAATAGTTTCCGGTCTATTCTGAGCCCGATCTCTGTAGATAAATAAAAATAAAGAACTACGACAGATGTGTAATATATTTAATGCAGCCGAACCATTTATTACAATGCATTCATGTGATGACTTTCAAAGAGTAAAGCAAGCACTGCTGAATAAAGTATGATTTTATCAATTACGAAACGTTTTTTTTCATATGGAATGCAGTTGGAGGTCAACGAATCACAGAGCTTGAAAACTAATCACGGGGTTTGTCAAACAGAGCACATGGTGTAGTCCTAAACGATAGCTGGGGATTCTGGGTAGTGTAGTGTCTTCTGCCATCCTTTACTCCGAAAAAATATTTGTTTCTCCGAATCCAAGGGGGAAAATACAAAAGCATTGCACACCATTTAAACCAATCAATGTTTTGTAATTAACAAGGATAATCTGGTGTTTTTTAGTCGATGAGTAGTGCAGATATCACTGTAATATCAATCGACAGTAAGTGGAATACTTACTTCCGGGTGTACAATTCTCCGTTATCCAATGGGAATGGACGCTCACATTGCCTTTAAGGGCAGCCGACACAAACGAATGCCGTGCTTCCATGAGCGTCAAATCCCGCTGCAGATGGGAATACATTGCAATCAGTTGAAAGCTATTTGCGTCCCTTTATGAAGCTGAAGGAGCCTAGGAGCGTCACAACTGCACGCCACGGGACCCTGACCAAACGTCGCTCCTGGACGATTATGGAGTGAGAGTGTGTTGCCTCAGGAGATGCGAGCGGAGGACTGAGGAGTGGAACCGAGGAGAGAGGAGGGGAAGCAACAGGCGGTTAGAGAAATGAGAACTCCCCTCCTCTGAGTGGTACAGTATGAGAGCACTCTCATAATAACGTAACACAATCAGAGACTGGATATACCCCCCCCCCCCTCTCTCTGGTCGCTGAAATGGGGAATTGAAATGACGGGCCAGAAGTTGTATTTACAAGTATTAAAAGTAAGCAGAGGACACCAAACCAACTGAGACCCGTCTGTCCGCCGCACCTACACACTGTACCACACACACACACACACACACACACACACACACACACACACACACACACACACACACACACACACACACACACACACACACACACACACACACACACACACACACACACACACACACACACACACACACACACACACAGACAGACAGACAGACAGACAGACAGACAGACAGACAGACACACACCTACACGCTGTACCACACACACACCTACACACTGTACCACACACACATACAGCTCTAAAGCATAATCAGGCTACAGTCGGTGTGTATTTTATTATGTGAAGCACTAAATGGTCTTAGAAAAATATGGACGCGGACAGACGGGTCTCAGTTGGTTTGGTGTCCTATGCTTACTTTTAATACTTGTAAATACAACTTTTGGCCCGTAATTTCAATTCCTCATTTGTTGATTATTTAATTATGCAATATGTGCATTTAAATATATCAAGGGACTATACTCTCTTTCACGGTAATTTATATAAATTATATGCTCGATTCCAGTTTATGTTTTGAACACAGGTCAGTGTGTTGTTGTGAAAAGTTTTGCAACCATAACTAAAAACACGATTTATGTGATCTTATTTTAGCAGAAAATAATAATAATTAGCATTAAAAGCAAAGATTGGTTTAGGTAATATTGTTTAAAAAAACTAAGATGTAAAAATGATGCAAGACACAGCTTCAAAGACATGGCAAAAACAAACATGTGGCTTTTAATGGTGAATAATACAACTTCCCATCCATGTATCAAATCAAATCAAATCAAGTTTTATTTATATAGCACATTTATAAACGATTTTTGGTCGAGCCAAAGTGCTGTACATATAATAAAAATAGCCTACAGTAGAGACACTTTACAGCAAATACAACAGCACAGATTGTTCAGAATATCAGTATGAGAAAAACGACACCCTCTATCCTTAGATAACAGTTTGTCAGCTTTACTTCCTCTTTTTTTCAAGAGTTTATTCTGCTTTATAGATCGTTTTTGCCTAGCGTGCACAAAATGGCATTTCGAGGCTCCTGTGTCTCCAAAATATATTACAGGAATCAACATTTATTTAAAAGAGCTGTTGGTAAATAGAAACCTTTTGCATTATGAATTTTTCGAACTTTAAATCGGAAAATTCAATGCATCTGATATAAACTACCCACTTTTGTGTTTGGTGTGTGTGTTTGTTCTCGGCTTCCTTTTCTTCAGAGGCATTGGGGCACATGACAGAAATCCACAGTGATCAGGCGTTTGTTTTTTGCACTCTTTAACAGCTTTAAAAAAGAGAGGACACACTTTTAGCTGTAGGGGATGAGTCTTGTGCTCCAAAACACAGCAGGGTCATTGTTCAGACATTTCATGAGTTACAATAAAAAGGAAAATACAATTTTTCTGGATGATCTTAAGAGATGAAAAAGAGCTCCACTCACGTATCAGAGGAGGATGCATGACTTGGGGGGCCTGAAGGGGTTATCACTGGAGGGCACCCCGGTGAGGAGGGGGTCTTTGTGGGCATTCTGCAGGCAGAAGGTCTTCAGTTCTGCAGCCGCCTGAGAAACCTGAAGACCCATATCACAACATTTACTGTTCAGTCATATGATTAATATGTTTTAAATTAGCACTGTTACTTAATCCAAAAAACAGACTACACCTGGGTATAATCAATATTTTTATATTTAGTTTTGATACATCATGAAACTACTTTCTGGTCGGATGAATTCTGAAAATGTTCTTGCAGCAGCTCCATTTGAAACATCAACAAGACCATTTAAAGAGGACATATTGTGCTCATATTCAGGTTCATATTAGTATTTAGTGTATCTCCTGTGACATGTCTCCATGATTTAACGTTCAAAAAGCTCTTTATTTTTCTCATACTGCCTGTGCTGCAGCACCTCTTTTCTGAAACCAGAGCCCAGTCTGCTCTGATAGAGAGGCGAAGTCTCTCCCTTTCCGGGGGAGCTCCATGGGACCTTATTTCGGAAAAAGTATGTATTGAAGTCAATGGCGAGAGAAAGATTATCTTTCGATCCCGTTTGAATTGTGCCACGAATCACACATATGATGTTTGTCAATTGAAAAGATAATTTTGCAAGTCAAAAAAATAAAAATGTGTCATAAAACTGTGAAGTAGCCTACCACATTTTGTTGTGTGAAACGCTCAATGAACAACATCTCCCGTCTCGCACCACACACCAAGACGGCCGTCACGTTGGCACATTTCACTTCTTTCTTTCAGAATGAGGCAGAAAGTATTAAAAAAGGTGAAAATCACTACAAGTCTGGGCATGTTGAGAGCTGTACATACACAAAAGGGGAGTTAGTCGGTTCCGTAAGAACCAGCATGCGGGACCGGGATTCTGGGATTTGTAGTCTTTCTAGTTGCGTATTTTTCATAGTCTTATATTTCAACAGTTTTACGACAAACTGTGACTTTTTTGACATGGAAATTATTTTTTAAGATTGACAAACATCATAGCCTATGTGTAATTCGTGGCACAATTCAAACGGGATCGAAAGATAATCTTTCTCTCCCCATTGACTTCAATACATAATTTTTCTGAAATAAGGTCCCATGGGGCGGAAGTAGATGAGCGGGACTTCGCCTCTCTATTGGTTAGCTAGCTGGCTCTGTTGGGATTGATCAACTGCTTAGAGATGTCCCGCCCCTTAGCCTATCACGTACGATTTGTTGAAGCACTAGCCAATAGAAGCGTGAGTGTTACATAGTGATGTTACTATCAATCAATGTTTATTTATTTTTTATTTATATAGCCCAATATCACAAATGTTACATTTGTCTCAGTGGACTTCACAGTTTGTACAGAATATCAGTATGACAATACGACACCCTCTGTCCTTAGACCCTCACATCGTACAAGGAAAAACTTCCGGAGAAAACCCACAGTTTAAAGGAAAAAATGGGAGAAACCTCAGGGAGAGCAACAGAGGAGGGATCCCTCTCCCAGGACGGACAGACGTGCAATAGATGCTGTGTGTAAATTGAAAAGATAATACATTTGCAACATAGGTAGTCCAAATGTTTGGAAATGCATGTGTGTATAATAGGAAGATGAATCCACGAGGATATCCATCCAGGACCTATGATCCAGGACCACAGCCATGACTCAAGATCCAGGGCTCGCGATCCAGGACACAGGACCGCAGGATCATCCATGACTCCGGATCCCGGCATATATAGACACCAAAAAGAAAGACATTTGGGGAAGCTGGGTTAATCGGAACATGAGAATACACAGGTATAGACAGAGAGAAGGAAGAAGTAAGATGTCCCCCGACAAACTAAGCCTATATCAGCAAAACTAGGGGCTGAATCTAATCAGCCCTAACTATAAGCTTTATCAAAAAGGAAGGTCTTAAGCGCACTCTTAAAAACGGATAGGGTGTCTGCCGCCCGAACACAAACTGGAAGCTGATTCCACAAATGTGGAGCTTGATAAGAAAAGGCTCTGGCTCCCATTGTACTTTTAGAGACTCTAGGAACAACCAACAACCCTGCATTCTTGGAACGCAATGCCCTAGTAGGACAGTAGGGTATAATGAGTTCTTTAAGGTAATATGGCGCCTGCCCATTAAGGGCTTTGTAGGCGAGAAGAAGAATTTTAAATTATATCCTGTGTTCTATAGGGAGCCAGTGTAAGGCAGCCAGAACAGGAGTAATGTGGTCCCTTTTCCTAACTCTGGTTAGTACACGAGCTGCAGCATTTTGAATCAGCTGAAGCGACTTCACTGACTTCTTGGTACACCCTGATAATAAGGAGTTACAATAATCCAGCCTTGAAGTAACAAATGCATGGACTAGTTTCTTTGCATCGTTTTGAGGCAAGATATGCCTGATTTTTGCAAAGTTACGTAGATGGAAGTAGGTGGTCCTTGAAATTGATTATTGTGTGGGCATTAAAGGATAAATCCTGATCAAATATAACACCAAGATTCCTTACAGTCTCACTGGAGGCCAAATTAATGCCATCCATAGTTAATATATCTTTAGATAATTTGTTTCGTAGATTCTTCGGGCCATGTACAATAACTTCAGTTTTGGTCGTGTTTAACATAAACATTTGTATGGTCATCCACGTTTTTAAGTCCTTAAGGCAGTCTTGAATTTTATTTAGATGATTAATTTCATCAGGCTTGATTGATAAATATAGTTGAGTATCATCCGCATAACAATGAAAGTTTACAGAATGATTCCTTATAATATTGCCTAACGGAAGCATATGTGAAGAAAAAAGGTCCGAGCACTGAGCCCTGTGGCACTCCTTTGCTAACTTTGGTTTGCGTGGAAGATTCATCATTGACACGTACAAACTGAGAGCGTTCAGATAGATAGGACATAAACCAGCCTAAAGCAGTTCCCTGTATGCCAACTAAGTGCTCTAGTCTTTGCAATAAGATATTATGATCAATAGTATCAAATGCAGCACTGAGATCGAGCAAAACAAGAATAGAGACAAGTCCCTTGTCAGAGGCTATTAGAATGTCATTTGTGACTTTAACCAGAGCTGTCTCTGTGCTATGATGTGTTCTAAAGCCAGACTGAAAATCTTCAAATAAATCATTGTTTTTTAAGTAATCACACAGCTGTTTTGCGACCGCTTTCTCAAGAATTTTTGAGAGGAACGGAAGATTAGAAATAGGTATTATTCTTATTCTCATCTATTAATGAAGAGTAGTAAGCTGCTCTCGCTTTACGCAGTGCTTTCTTATATTCATTGAGAGTAATATGCCAACGAGATTCTTCAAGTTTAGTGGAACGCCATATCCTTTCAAGTTGTCTCGACTTTTGCTTTATTTTGCGGGTTTCGGCATTATGCCATGGAGCTAGTCTATGTTGTTTTATTTTCTTCTTTTTCAAAGGAGCAACAGAGTCTAATTTTATTCGCAGCGCATCTGTAGCACTATCAACAACATGATCAATTTGGGGTGGTGTACATTTTGTATAAGTTTCCTCCCCTACATGCTATCGAGTTAAGTATTGGTGGAATCTCTTCCTTAAATTTGGCTATAGCACTAACAGATAGGTTTCTGCTGCAGGAGGTTTTGACTAATGCTTTGCAGTCTAGTAACAGTACTTCAAAAGTTACTAAGAAATGGTCGGATAAAGCAGGATTATGCGGTTCGACTAATAGTTGCTCAATTTCAATACCATAAGTCAGAACAAGGTCGAGAGTGTGATAGCAGTGGGTTGGTTTATTTACACTCTGACAGAAACCAACAGAATCTAATATAGAGTTAAATGCAACAGTAACGGCCCCTACACACGGCGGCGTGCGTTGCCGCTTCAACGCTTCTGCCCATTCACTTTGAATGGGGTGACGTCACGATTCGCCGAACTGCATTGTGGGAGCAAAGCGTAGCTTCTCTCGTGGTGCTCGCTGCAAAAGTAGAGCAATGTTCTACTCAACGGAGGCGTCAGCCAATCAAATCCCGCGTATGCAAATCTGACATTACAAGCGCTAGCCAATCAAACCACGTGTATGTTGGGAGAGCCAGACCGCAGTTATTTCCCATATGTCAAAAAATGGAGGAGAAAATTATCGTGGCGGTACTATATGACCACCAGTCCCTCTTTACATACAGGGATACAAACCGGAGGAGCCAGGCATGGGGGGAGGTGGCAGAGACAGTGGGTGAAACTGGTAGGTTTTCGCCTGTTTGGAGAGTTTATATCCAGTGTACTTCGTTTGAATGGACAGCTAGCAAGCATAGACAGTATATTTAGCCAGCTTGGATGTAGCATGAATGCTTTGCTTTGTATGTCCGGGGCGGGACATTCATGTGATTGGTTGTTGGTCGCGTTGTTCGTAAAAAATCCCCAAGCTTCAGACACGCCCACCGCCAAGCGGTAACGCACGCCGCCGTGTGTAGGGGCCGTAAGGCTATTTTTATCATCGTCAACATGAATATTAAAGTCCCCTACGATAATTACTTTATCTGTTTTAAGTACCAAAGTTGATAAAAACTCAGAGAATTCTGATAAGAATTCTGAATAATGACCTGGTGCACGGTACACTGTAACAAATAAGATTTCCAGGTCGGATGCGTAAGACTAAAAACGAGACTTTCAAAGGAGGTATAATTTCATTTTGGTTTAGTATTGATAAGTAAACTTAAGTCAAAGATTGCTACAACTCCACCTCCTCGGCCCGTGCCTCGGGCAATATGAGTATTGATATGGCTGGGTGGAGTGGCCTCATTTATGCTGACATATTCTTCATGTCTCAACCAAGTTTCAGTGAGACAGCATATATCAATATTATAATCTGATATTAAATAATTTACCAATATTGCTTTAGATGCTAGAGATCTTATGTGTAAGAGACCACATTTAATATTCCTGTTTTGTTGCACTGTTTAGTCGACTGGACTAAACCTTCACCATCTGTCTGGCTCAGACCTCTTCCTCTCCGACCACTTAGCCATCACCATGACCATCAACATTCCCACCCCACCACCAAAGCAAAAACGCAAAATCAACTTCCGTAAATTAAGCTGTGTTTCAGCTACCTCGCTCTCATCCTCCCTCTCTGAAAAA